CATGACATGGAAGCTGACTCCAGCGAGAGCCACCCACCTGGGCAAGGCCAGTGGCATTTATTGAACTAGGGACCACTGGCTACTTTTCTTTAACACCAAATTTGAACAAAAAGAGGAAGAAGTCTAATTCACTACCCCTAAGCGATCTGCTGCCATATAAAGTAGTGACTCAACCCTGGCTGCCTGTGAGAATCACGCAAGGAACTTAAAAAAAATACTGATGCCTGGGTCTCATTGCCAAAAATTCTGAGCATTGGTATCTTTTAATAAGTTCTTTAGGTGATTCTAATTGCAGCCTAAGTTGAGAACCAGTAACCTATGTTCCAGCTGGGAGTCTACAGCAAGTGCAAAATGATTTATATTTTCCTAACTAACAGATCCAGACTGCCCTGGCCTGAGTGTCTGCAGGGATGACTTGATCTGTTAGTAGCATGTGTGATGCTTGATCGAGTTGATTGGCCCATGCTGGGATTTCCATTTGAAGAAATTTCAAACGGATGATTGAGAGGATAGAGTATTCTTTGTATTTCCCCCCTTTTCTTTTGTGACGTCACTGTACTTACTGGTGTCCTGCCTCGCTCAAAGTAATAATGATTTTAAAGCTTGAGAAATTTCAAAGTCTAATTTGGATGGAGGGAGAAAAGGGATATTTCTGGTGAGAGAGAAAAATAGACCCTCTTTTTTGCACCAATTTTTGCTCGAGTCATGTCAGGTGGCAAGCTCTGACTGCTCCACTAGTCAGGGATCCAGAGGAAGCAAGCTTCAAAAACTGCACTGATGTTATTCAGTGCTAAAAAGAAATGAGCTATGAAACCATGAAATTCATGGAGGAACTTTAAATGCAAAGGATTTAGTGAAAGACATGAAACTGAAAAGGCTCTATACACTATGAGTCCAACTATATGATGATCTGGAAAAGGCAAAACTATGAAGAATGGTAGAAAGACTTGTGGTTGCCAGGGGATAGCAAGGAGGGAAGGATGAATAGGCAGGACACACAAGATTTTTAGGTCAGTAAAACTATTCTGTGTGCTCTAGTGATGGAGACATGTCACTACACACTTGTCAAAGCCCATAGAATGCCCAACACCAAGAGTGAACTGTAACATAAACTGTGAACTTTGGGCAATAAAATGATGTGTCACTGTAGGTTCAGCAGTTATAACAGATGTCCCGCTCAATTGGGGGACGTTCATAGTGGGGCTGGTAGCATTTGTGTGGGGATAGGAAGTATATGCTAACTCCCTGTATTTTTTGTTCAGTTTTGCTGTGGATCTAAAACTGCTCTAAAAATAGTCTATTAAAAAATTGTACTGGCAATAATGTGTATAAATGCTACCGTAGAATAATTTTTTTTCTGGGATCTCATGTTTTAAAGACAGAGCAGATGTGAACATATGAAGTGAGGAAGTAAAGAAATATCTTACTTGCTTTTTTTCCTAAACAGCTCTTTTTTATTGATTGATTTGAGTGAGAAAGAAACATTGATTTGTTGTTCCACTTATTTATGCATTTATTGGTCGCTTCTTGTATGTGCCCTGACTGAAGATCAAGCCTGCAACCTTGGCATATCAGGATGACTCCCTAACCAACTGAGCTACCTGCCAGGGCCCCAAACAACTCTTTTAACTGTTCACGGAATGTTGGGATTTTGCCTGGGGAAAAAAGGGGGTGAAATGCAGGCCGTGTGGACCTCCCTCTCTACACATGGTCAGCAACAGCAGAAATATCTGTGGGGGGCTTTTAATGTGAATCTGAAACTTTGACCTTGCCCCTGGGGTCTCTCTGTGAGACAAGCAGACCCTGTCCCCCCAATCCAGCTTCAATGAAGGCCAGTGTTGACAGCTCAGACATGGCCCTCCCTCCTTCCCAGTCCTGTCCTCACATTCTGTCTAATACCAAAGCCTTAAAGGATATCCCTGATCCTAATCCTAAGACCTATGAGCCTCACAAGGAGGGGGAGAGGTAATATTCAGTCTCTATGCCTTAAAAAGCTATATTATTCAATCTAAAAAAGGGGATCAATAGGTTCAATGTTCATCACCTCTTCATAAATGGTATTGATCCCTTTAATACCCCAACTGGCTTTTGGTAATGGAATTAATGTTTTTTAATATGAATTTCTATACACTATTGATACTTAAAATTTTATTTCTTTCTTATTATTAAAATAATACATGTTTATTGAGGAAATATGGCAAAAGAAGGAAAACACCTACCAGATTCTGCCAGTTCAGAGATAATGCTTGTTAACGGTTTGGTGTATATCCCTTCCAAAGCACCCAGAGAATGCACTGGAAACACTGTGTAATTGCACTGTCATCAGTGTCTCTATTCCCACCTCAAAGAACTGTAAAGAGCACAGTTAATTTTTCTTGGTCATTGGCCCCTTAGGAATCTTGGCAAATGTTTAACTTGTAGGTAAGTATATCCAAGCCAACTCACAATCTACTATTCAGTGGGCAACAAATGGTTGAGGTGTTTTTTTGTTTTGTTTTGTTTTTTTAAATCCTGCTAAAAGAACTTTATGTCTCTTCACCACTAAATTATGACAAGTTATCTCACAGTTAATAGCATCTTAGTGGCTGTATCTCCAGGTAATGTAACCCAGCAGGACTGCAAGGTATGCAGAGCCCATGTTTTAGAACAAAAGAGCATTTTTCTCTTGCTAGTGAGTAAAAGTGATTTTTCAGCTATAAAAGGACAAAAGGTTTTAAAATTATTCCACTGGGCAGGGTTTCCTAGATTTTTTTGGATTTTTTTTGGGTACTTGGCCATGGAGCTAACCCAGCATCTCCAGACTTCTTCCATTTTTGTAGCAGTGTAAAGAATTCACTGAATGAGACTAGAGTCACTCCATAGTGTGATGATTAAAACCCAGGGTCCTCTTGACCTAAAGGCGGCTACAACCAGCTGTGTAGAAGTGTCATCAGCAGACCACTTGATCGGTGTGTAGGAAGAAGTAAAGACATCCCGTTTCCTTTTAAATATCTTCACTGCCCTCTCAAGGTTGTGTTTTCCTTTTTGAGAAAAAAAATTTAACATTTAATACTGTAAATGCAACAGGAAGGTAAAGCTTCATTGAGAAGTTATCGAAGATGTTTAACTTAACTAAGGGATTGTTTCAGCACGTTCCAGGTTTAAACAGCTCTGTGATACCAGGTCTCCCTTTTTCATTTTCTCTATGTGTTTCATAGCCCTGGAACCCAAGAGAACAAATGGCGCATCCCCTGGTCCCAGGCCCCTTCTTAAGACATTGCTGTCACCAGAGACAGAGAATAAAATTATATGAATAATAGAGGACAATTTGCCTCAAAGTATGTATTGAGGCACCAGCACCGTGTCGGTGCTTTCTCTGAATTACTAGCGACAAGATCAACAGCAACCTCTTGTGACATCCCAGCCACTGCTCTAAATACCTGGGTATATTTAGTCGCTTCATCCTGACAGTAACCCCATGGGGTGGAGGCCATGATTGTCCCTATGTTGCAGGTGCGGACAGCAAGTCACACAGAGGTAAGTAGCTGAGCCAGAATTTGAGCACGAACAAACTGGAGAGTCTGCCCTCTGAACGTGATTAAATTGCTACAACAACCCCACAAGATTGATGGTGGTGTCCCCATTTTACAGATGAGAAGGTGGGCTTCAGGAAGATGAACATCTGGCAATAGCTCCTCATACCTGGGAAGGAGCGGAGTTTGGTTCAAAACCCTAATTCCGAAGCCTTCCCTGTGCCTCCCCATCACACTCCATTACCCATACTGGACGCAGTTTTTTGTATTCAAGGCTTTATCCGCACCCGAGGGGACGCAGAATTGGCCGACGTGCAGATGCTCAAGTGGCCCACGCCGCATTTTTCTGGGTTTTTTGTACAAAGCCGCGCGTTCACTCTCTAGCCATGCAACGCCGCACTATCAGCTGCACCTCTTCCCGTATAAGTAGCTGTAGGGTTAAGCTTTCCAGTGCATTCCTGCCTCAGGGTCCTCGCGGTGGCTGTCCCTCTGCCTGGAATGCTTTGTCCTGCCATCTTGACGTGGATGACTCCTTCTCAGGTGTAGGCTCAGATTTCATCACCTCAGGGGGCTGACCCTGACTGCCTGTATTAGTTTCCTAAGGCCCCGTAACAATGACCACAAACTGGGCGCTTAAAACAGCAGAAACGTAGCCTTCTCATAGTCCTGGAGGCCAGAGTCCAAAACCGAGGTGCTGGTAGGGCCACGCTTCCTCTGAAGCTCGAGGGGGGATCCTTTCCTGCCTCTTTGCATTTCTGGTGGCTTCGTGCATTCTTTAGCTTGAGGCAGCATAACTCCCACTTCGCCTCTCTCTGGGCCTCCTCGCGGTGCCTCTTCTTCCGAGAACACTTGTCATTGGACTTAGGGCCTGCCTGGGTAATTCATGATGATCTCATCTCAAGATCCTTAATTATCCTTACAAGACTGCTTCTCCAAATAAGGCCGCATTCACAGGTTCTGGGTGGACGTGTCTTGGGGGTGGCATTACACCCTGCCCGAGGTAAACTGCATTGCAGATAAAGCAGTCTTTGCTGCCCTCGCACTGTGACACCATCAGCCAGTTAGTTTTTTTCTGAGCCCTTGTCCTTATTTGATGCATCTTGTTTTTTAATCTGTCCACTCTGCTGTTACTTGTCGCCACCTCCTTGAATTCAAACTTTATGGGTATCACTGCTGTGTCCTTGGTGTTTAGACCAATGCTTAGCATAGTGTAAAAATCACCAAATAGTTACTGCATGAATGATATCATTTGGCAAATTTGCTGTCAACTTGGCTCCTTTCAACAATTCACAGGAATTTAAAATATTATTTATGTTATTTGAATTCCAGTTACATGTTTTTGGAAATCTAAGTATATTGTGGGACATATATTTAACTCAATGAATAAAATATATCCAGCCGTTTCAGTGTAACAATTGCTAACTGGTCTTCATAGTTTTGTTTAGCTTTTACTTTTCCCCCTGGCACAAATATTTCTTTCTCCCCTAGGCTCCGATCACCTCCGGGAGAAAGATGGCCTCTGGGCTGTCTTGGTCTGGCTCTCCATTATCGCTGCCCGCAAGCAGAGTGTGGAGGAAATTGTTCGAGATCACTGGGCCAAATTTGGCCGCCACTACTATTGCAGGTGAGAAAGAAGGGTAAAGGTGTTGGTATGGACCCTGGGGAACTGCTCTTGGGAAGGTTTCTAAAGCTGTTGGACTAGAACCTTAGGAAGGAGGCATCTTTCAGGAAGATCTGAGGAACACAGAGGATGAAGCTGGATAACCCCTGGTAGATGGTTGGAGGTGGTGTCAAACTGGAGGGACTCCCAAACTGGAGGGCACACATTTCCCCTCTCCTGTGCCATCCCTCTGTCATCTTCCCACCCGTGCCTGTAAGGTGGGCAGCCATCTCGAGGGGGAATCTGAACTGCAGAGCCTTGGTAAGTTCTTTAGTGCTCATAGGGTTGTGCAGTTAGCCTAGGGCTTTCCTTGTTGGCTCTCCACCCATAATCATCAAGAAAGGGGGGGCAGAGACAGAAGCTGTGACAGGTCAGGGTGCTTTTGTAACCCTCTGCCTACCTTCTTACCTTCCCACTAACAGTCCAAACCACATCCAAGATGCCTGCGCTGGGGCCCTCTGAAGGGGCCACATGATTCAGGATCCCTAGATTTTGCTAAAGTTCTATCCCCATAGAAGGGGGTACAGAAAAGGGAAATGTTACCCTGGGAAGGAGGAAGGGGGGAAAAAGGTCAGTGGTTGAGAGCTTTGGGTTGGGGGTCTCTACCACTTTCCTGTGGTTGAAGTAAGTGAGGGGGCAGAGTGCTCTGGCTGCGTGGCTGCCTGCTAGGTGTGTGTCCCTAGTGCCCAGCCGTGGTTCAGGGGCAGCAGTGGCAGGAAAGGATGTTGGGAAAGACGTGGGAGTGGGGCAGGGGAATCCTTGGCTATGTTACAGGCTCTCTGTATTAAAAACAGATTGTGGCTCATTTGCTTTGCTTATGAATAGTTAACTCCTTTGGGTGTTTGGTTGTGTTTCAAGAGCTTGAGGGACAGAAAGAAATCTTCAGACTTCCCTTATAAGGTGATTGTTTCTTCTCTTAAGAGGTCATTTACTTAGATAAATATCAGAGAATAAGGAAGCCTGTGATTGCACTCATTAAAGTGAGAGACTGCAATGCTCTGGCAAATGTAGACAACGTGGTAATATTCTTGGTTCCTGTTTAGATGTGAGAGCCTGCAAACCACCTCAACTTATTCATTGTGTCATAAAATAAGGACTCTCAAGGCAGGTGGGAACTTGTTTTACCCGCTAGTATGACTAACAAGTGCCAGAAAATCCTACTTCTTGTGGGCTTTTTTTGGCATATCAAGGGACTGACTGGCACAGCAGATCCTTCGATTGAATAAAGCTGTTTTTAAAAGTCCAACTTGATAAAATACATCATGACTGCTAACCTCTGGCTTAGGGAGACCGCTTTAAGTCAGGAATATGGTTCTCATAATTTGTGGAATGATTATCTAGCTTTCTGCCAGTGTTTTGAAGACATGGTGTTATGGTAAGTGTATTTATAATATAGTTCACTTTTTGTGGCCAAGAGCTTACATGATAATTACCTTGTTCATAACAAATACCATATTAGAGAGTATAACGCAATGGAGATTTGAATGCTTCTTGGACATTGTTTTATGTTTCAGATTTCTGTCCAAAAGATCACAGAGATAAAGGGAAAGGGAGGAGGGAAAGGTAGAAGGAAAGGTAAACATTTCCTTCAGCCTCTGGAAAATGCAGATTGAAAGGTGCTTGTGAAATAAAATGGTTTCTACCTTGTTTTCTTAGTGGAGAGGAGATTCTTAAACAAGTTTAGTTTAACTAATATAGAGCCTGGAGCTGTATCTGAGAACCCAGATGATTGTCCTTATATGAGTGGACCCCAGGAGTTCTCCATTTAGAGTTTTCTTCCCTGGAACGTGTCAGTGGTGTTGGTAGTCAGAGGGGGTTGTGGTGACGGGAAGGCCGTGCTAGGACCTGCTTGTCTATGAAAATGAGCATTGGCACAGGCTGGTCTGATGACTTTGGCCACAGGCTGACTGTGATCTGCTCCATTCGTGGATTTTTCTCAGTTTTTGCATCCTTATCTCCTACTAGACCCTCTTATCCTATCACCCCACTGCTTTCTGCTTGGTTGGGTCTTTACCTTCCCCCAAAAGACTATCTTTAAAGAGAATCTAGGCTCAGAGCGCATGCACTGAGGAGAAAGAATGTTCTGAGTTCCCTGCTGCGTTGTCTCTGAGGCTGGGGAAGACTCACCCTGTTAGGAGGGAGGGACTAAAAGAAACAGATATAGGTGCAGGGGGCCCATTGCCAGACATGGTATCATTTCAGGGTCTCTATTCTGGCTGCTACCCTGATGTTCACTTGAAAGACATTGGTGGAAAAAAGCAGAAACAGCTGCTCAGATCTTCCTTCTTTCCGTTCACTCTGAGAGCTCCCATTCTTTCCCTGTGTCACCGGGAGCCCAAATGTGAGGTCCCAGCACTGCCTCCTGCGTGAGCACGGCTGCCCTCGAAGGGCTGCTTCTGAGACAGAACAATCTGGTTGTGCCGTTAGAGCCGGGTCAAGACTCCCCGATGTTGGGAAAGGCCCTGCAGTTCCTTCATGGGAGTGACTAAGAAGACAAGTAATCAACACTTTTCAGCACTTGTGTCTGGCACTGTGCCAACTGCTTGGTCTCTGTTATCATATTTAATCCTCATAACAAGAAATGAGATAGGTGTTATTTTTAGACTTTTTTTTTTTTTT